AGCCAGGCCGGGCAAACCCAACGCCTGGACAGCGCTCCACAACGGCCAGTCCGAGTGGCTGCAGGTGGGTCTCGGTGTCCTCCCCCTGTAACCTCATTTCTCCTCCCCAGCTCCGCCAGTTGTGCCCAGGGCCACCTCCTGTGCCTGAGGTGGCTGGAAGCAGGGTGGGTAGTTGTGCTATGGGGCACGCAGCCCTGCGGTGCTCTCCGCGAGCTGGGATCACAGGGGTGGGTCGGGATGGGGCCACAGCCACTGGTTTTATCAGTGATGCTGGAGCTCTGGGTCAGAAACATCAGCACCTGTAGGGACGGGGTGGTGCCATCTCTGAAGACTTTCTGTGGGGTGCACCAAGCCTGCAGCACCCTCTTGGGAAGCGCCATCCCAGCCTGGGGTGACCGTGCCACGACCCTCTGGCTGCCCAGAACACCATGTTTCTGTTTTGCAGGAAGAAAATCAGGTTTGCTTTTCTCGTCCCAATCTGGAATGGGAACAAATAGTTTTGAAATCTCCTTCTCAGTTTCCTTTCCTCTGCTGTTTTTATACTTTTCACATGATTTAATGACATAATAGGATGGAGCAGTTTAGATATTTGTCCTGCTTTTTATTTGGGAGATGATTAAAAGCAGCTGCTTCGTGGCCCTAAATAAACCAGCTTATCAAATTGTCTGCTGATAGGGTCAGGATGACACACTGACGCATTGCAGGCTGTCTCTTTGTGTATGTGCATATAGATTTACATGTGTACTTGTATACATACACTTACATAGATAGTACTGCCTTCAGAAAGCATAAAATAGGAACTAAATTAAGGAGACTTTCAGCTCATTTGCTGGTTTACCCTGTAGAGAGCCAGCAGCAGTAGTGCAGTGTGACAGAGTAAAGAGAATAGAAACCATCTCACTTACAACCCAAATGTCAGACCGCATTGAACTGCATATTTTCTCAGCCAGAATCACTTTCCAGTGGAAATGCATTTCCTCTGGGAATCCTTTTTTCTTTTTCTTTTTTTTTTTTTGTTTAAATGAAGATTTTATGCTGTCATTCCCATGTTGACCTTTTCAGCAAAATATGTCGGGGTGGCAGTGATGGGGAAGGGAGCTGAGATGATGGCTTTTGTATCCTGCTCTGACTTGCTTCGAGGGATGCTGCAAGTGTTAAAGGGTCAAATATTTCACAGCAGTGTTTCATTAGTTGCTCTGGCATTGGGGCAGGGGTTGAGGGATATGCAGGATGCTCTGGAGTGGGAGCACGGCTCCAAGGAGCCTCGGTGAGCCTTGTTTCTTCGCCAGATTGACCTCCGGGACCAGAAGAAGGTGACGGGCATCACCCCGTGCTTTGGGCCACATCCAATATGTGCCAGCCTATAAGGTAGCCTACAGCAACAACGGCACCTCCTGGACCCTCTACCGGGATGGCCAGACCAACAGCACCAAGGTGTGTGCGGCAGGGCAAGGTGGACACCTCCTGGCCTGTGGGGAGGGGTGCGATAGTGGCAAGGAGGTCCCAGCAGTGCTGACACCCACTTTTCCCTCCCTAGATCTTCCATGGGAACAGCGACAACTACTCGCACAAGAAGAATGTGTTCGACGTGCCCTTCTACGCCCGCTTCGTCCGCATCCACCAACAGCACCAAGGTGTGTGCGGCAGGGCAAGGTGGACACCTCCTGGCCTGTGGGGAGGGGTGCGATAGTGGCAAGGAGGTCCCAGCAGTGCTGACACCCACTTTTCCCTCCCTAGATCTTCCATGGGAACAGCGACAACTACTCGCACAAGAAGAATGTGTTCGACGTGCCCTTCTACGCCCGCTTCGTCCGCATCCCGGCCGTG